GTAATGTTACCAGTCAGTAATAGTTGACAATACACCACCATGCTATCAGAACGATTCAACAACTTAAAACTACACACATTACTGGCTTGATTAATTAAGGATTTGATCTTTAGAGATTTCTTTGTATGTATACAATTAAATAAAGAATATACAGTTAAAATCAAAATCTCCTTATGGATAACGCAATGGCTTTTGATGCGAAAGGTACTGGGTTCGAGTCCCAGAGTGAAAATCAACTCTGAGATGCAGGTACATTCAGGTGACGAGTCCCAAATAGGACGAAACGCGCGTTCTGGATTCCACTGCTAGCCACTATCCATATTTGCTTATAATAAATAAATTCATTATTTAACTTAGAAAGCAAACAACATTTGTTATATCCCGACGAGAATTAGGAATGGTAACTTTTGAGAACTATTTATGAACCAATAACTTACATATATTTTTTTTATTGTATAATTGTTAACTGGCTGATCTATGCATATACATGTTTCTACTATTATAAGCTTTATTTTGACACGTCGACTAATATTATACAATTTCAACTTTGTGGATCAGTTGAAGTTAGACACTAACACCGTTGGATGCCAGTTCAGTGGTTTATCGGTTAAGTGCTCTGGCACTAGATTGGTAGGTCCTGGGTTCGAATTTTGTGAGTGCGGGATTGTAGATTTGCTAGGACGAAATGCCCATTAAGTGCTTCCAGGTTTTTCATAGTGGTCTAGCTTTAATCATTTCATGAATTCAACTATTAAATTACTACAATCTCAATGATTGTTTATATAAAAACAGAAGCTACCTAATTCCTAATCTATGATTGTAATGGTGCATAAAGTAGTATAGTTGTATTATAAATTCCTTAATCATTATTTATAAAACAAAGTTTACCCTGTTAAAAGTATTGTTAACTGGCGATAGTAAATAAATTTCTGTTCATTAAAATTAATTTTACGATTATAGAATTACATATAATGTACATTTTTGTATCCAACCGCCCCCCCCTACAAAAAAAAACAAAAAAATAAAACAGATCTATTCTCTTAAAACTTTGAATTAATCTAACACTTTTTTTTGTTTATTATAATTTGTAACTACCCTTAGTAAAAATTCAAATTTTGTTTATAACTTAATACATTTTATCAAATATAACTTGAACTTGCTCCAATTACTTCAAGTACTTTTGAAGAATATCTTCAAGACTACTTAATTATTACTTATTCAGTAGAATGATAAAATTATTAATTGTTTTAAATATTGATAGGTTAATGTATACATTTGAGAATACAATGTAATTTATTCCAAATATATCAGGTTTGATTAAAACTAATATAGACTAATTAATAAGGTAATGTGGTGTGATCTACTTATATCAATATAAGTAGCATATGGTGTAGGTCAGACATAGAATGTATTTTGGCAGAAGACCGATGACGAAAGAACTGAAATGAAGCGCAATCGCTTGGAAAATGCATGAGCAATGGAATAAGAGAAGAAACAGTGAAGATTGAAACAATTGGTTGTTAATTTGCAAATTGACTGTTCATTGTTTGGTTATCAGAATTTACTGAGATAGTCTGTAACTTTAGCTTAAATACATTCGATTGTCCCCAACCAGTGTTCTGTTCACTACAGTAAGACTATAAATAGAATCTAGATATCTACTTAACAGATTCTTATGTCATTAAAATATACTACAATCAAAATTTATTAGTCAGATATAGTAGTATTTTGTTTAGATAAGATCATGTGTCAATTGAAGCTAGACCATCATGAAAAACCTGGAAGCACTGGACGGCCGTTTCGTCCTATATAAAATTACTAAAATCTCTACAAAACCCCCTTGTGATAATGATCATATGCTCACCAGTGACTGGCTCCATGAGGTAATTCCTGGAGTTCTAGTGAGAAGTCGTGGCCAGTGGAGCTAATCCATGTCAGGTGGAGACAGGTATTAACCTCATTACAATAGAAGTTAGTCGCGCAATTTCGTGGATTGGTTGAGGTTAGACATGAACACCATTGGATGCCAACTCAGTGGTCTATCGATTAAGTGCTCTAGCGCGAGACTGGTAGGTCCTGGGTTCGAATCCAGCTGGGTGGGGTCGTGGATGTGCACTGTTGAGGAGTCCCACAATAGCATGAAACAGCCGTCCAGTGCTTCCAGGTTTTCCATGATGGTCTAGCTACAATTGACTAATGATCTTAACTATATAAAAGTACTTAAATCTCCACAAAACCCCCTGAAGATATAGTAGTAGTTAATAAATAAGTGACAATCTTTTCATTCAATTAACGAACAATTCACTTCATGTTACTTATTAAGACACCTTCCAATGTCATGTAAAATGAAATGCCGAATTGCATTTTCTGATTAACTCATGATATAATATTATTTATTTGTATATACTACTAAAAAGAACTTGCTAGAAAATGTAGTTGTCTTTTATCATGCATCCCTATGATTTGTGTTGTTATGAACAATATATACTCCATTCTTTAAGCGTAAGTAAGAATTAAATGTTTTGCTTGAATAGTTAAGCAAGAAAAAATAGGCTAACATCTCACTGAAAATATCTTTAAACCTCATGTGACTCCGACTGGTTAAAATCTTAAAATTAAATAATACTTAGATATTTTCGAATATATTGTAAAACGAAACCAATTTCGTAATCAGGGACACTGGACAATGGAATATGAAAAGAAAACAATCTAATACAAAAAGTCTGTGGTAAAGTCACATCACAAATTTCTAGATCAAAAGACAAATCATGAAAGTAGATAAATGGATGTATTGTAGATTAACCTCACAATTAAATCGATATATGAGTTTCTGTGTGAGTTTATTCAGTTACAACTAGTGAGTAAGATAAGCAGATAAAGCCCATACAAAAATACATATTTAGAGAAGGAATATAAATAACAAATGAATAGTTAATTGCACAAGGAATAAAACAATATAATTAACATTAATAACAACGACATATCTAATAGACACAAGATCTATCTGAATTTATATATACCGACAAAGGAATAGGTTTGTGTAAGGATATCAAAAATGAACCCGCTAAACATCTTTTATCAATGAATACTAGGAACCTCGGTGTCTAAATCCAATAGGTGAACGGTGCTGGATTCGAGTCTTGGGGTGAACATCGACTTTGAGATGCAGGTACATCCAACTGAGGAGGTACAAATAAGACGAAACGCACGTCCTGGATTCCAATGCAAGCCATCCTCTATGTTTGCTTATAATTCTTGTGACGTCAGGCGATATTGAAACAATCCACACAGTATGTACATAAACTAATAAGTGACTGATAAATTTCAATCCTATACATCGATGGGAAAATTCAAACAAAGCAATACAAAATGAATTCCAATTGAAGTTTGTTTCAACAATTAACATTGAGAAAAAATGTGTTATCCCATTATTCTGGTAAATCTATTGCATTATTGGATATTTCTTTTCAATCAGTTCATTAAAACAAACTGAGCCTTGATAAACAATATCATGATCTTTAAAATTACAATTTTTCTAAAGCCTATAGGAATTATTTTAAAGATTTAAAGGATTTCAACAAACTGATTCACATTATTTAGGCAAGTACAGACAAAGGACAATGGATGGTATTCAATGTACAACATATTTTCTGACTATTCAGTCAATTTCATATTCAGGAAGAATGTATTTGTAAAAGCTTAGAGAATGAATTTTATGTAAATTCGACGTACATCGTTCTCTGGTTCACTTTATACTAAATAGGTCATTTAATAAATGGTAACAATGTTTAAAGTAGGTATTTGCTTTAGTGTGTAAGAGATACGTGGTGTGAAACGAAAAGTTTTAAGATAACAGATTGTATATATGTACTTACTTATATTAAATAATTTTATAGATTGATTGTATTTCCTTAAAAAAGCTTGGACCAGATTGTCAGGGGGATACGCTTGATTTACGTCAAATTTATTCGTTGTGGTTTTACAAATACATTCTTCGTCTTCTAAGCCTCACATCAACTCAGCGCATAAATAATGTGAAACTATTCGTTCTAATTTAGGTGGAAATCCTTATGTCTGAGACGATTTGTTTTAAATTTTAATATATGAATTTATTCTACGTAGAGCTCTAAAACATTTTGATAGATTTTTTATAAAATCCAGGGTGTTCATTGTTCAGTGGTTGATATCAATCCAAATACCACCATAAATGATTTTCAATATTCAATAGTCCCTTTGTGGAAAAATTAACACAATCACCTTCATGATAAGATCTCATGAGTTTGAACTACCCAGTAATGTTTAAGCTTTATGTCTGACAAGAAATCATGAATATTCAAGCTAAAAATTTGAGAAAAACTAAATATAAGACATATTTCAGTGTTAAATATTAGATCATTACAATACTGTCACCTTCAGGTTATATAAAATAATCTTCTTTGATCCGCTAAACTTCGCACCAGACTTCATAAGAATGAATCTTATTAGTATGATATGATTTTCCTAAAATAGATAATGACAAAAAATTTTAGTATGGCTTAGTCTATGTCTGTCAGACTTCTATTTGGCGGAAGTTGAGGCAAATGGATGATCCTGAATCATTTTTTTTACCCAATGCAAAATGTGTTTGAGACGATTTCTAATACAATACACACGCAAATGATTAAGATTCTCATTACAAACTGACATTCATTAAAATAAATTGCGTGCCAAAATTTTTGATTGTTTAATTAACATACTCTAAATCTGTATACTTGTGTTTTACCTTCTTGCATGCTTAACTGAATATCATCATGTATTGTATAGAATAAATATTAATCGAACTGTTCTTTTTCGACATTAAACGTAGAGAAAACTTGTAGCTAGTGATCAAAGCTGTAGATAGACTGAAAACACTGTACTTCATTATATTAAGACTAAATACTTTATATGGCAAAAACTGAGAAACTTCCCCTTTGCTTCAAATTAATGTAGTGTAAATTTAATGAATTAAAAGATAGTGGAGAAGATTTGTAGCTCAGGTAGGTGATTTAGCTGGAGTTTGGTCGTGACCAAACCATCCAGCTAGGAGAACAGAACTCCATCAAAATGAATTTTTTAAAAAAAAATACTCTCCACAACGTTAAAAACTCCTTCAGAAAGTAAAAAAAAATTGTAAATGTAATCGTCAATTATTTTTTTCCCATCAATTGAAGATGCTTCAAGTTATCTTACATTACCTTTTATACTATCCATTATCTTACTTAAATAACTTACATAATTAAATAAGTAGTATTACGACATTCATATCATAATTAAAATGTACATCAACTTGAGTGAGATTGAGTTCAATCAGCCCAGTATGCTGATTCTATTTATTTTTTTTTGCAAAATTTTATAAGAGTGGGCTAATCTCAATTATGATTGGTTATTTTTGAAGGTCAGTCAGACAGAAAAGTGAATTTTAAACAAATAATAATAATATATACAGTAGATTAGTATTTTGATCGATAAATAATATGACAGACTTATCCAGGTAAGAAAATAGACAAATCAACTTTTATATCATAACTGACCAATCATAATAAAGTTGTAAATTTTAATCGGTAGGTTATATGATGTTCATTTTAAAAAAAAATAATATATAAGATAATAAGAAGATTGTTTTAGAAGGAAAGATGCAGTATCTGGAGTACTATAACACTAGTCCTCATGGATTATATTTCAATTTGACTGATATATATGTATATTGTTTTGATTGTTTTCTAAAAAACAAAACTGCAATGTCTGAGGAACTATAACACTATTCCTCATGAATGTCATTTCAACTTGACTAATATAGATATACCATATATTTAATCTTTAAATGAATACCTATTTAAAACAATGCTATGTCAAATATGCTTATTATAAAAATGGATCCACCTCACTCAAATATAATATGTAATGATGAATAAAGGTTAAATTAACCATTAGAACGTACCGTTTCGATATATGATAATGTGGATCATTTGTTGTCGTAAACAGGAAACAAAAAAGAATAAAACAAAAGATAATTTACAGCTAAGTTCAAAATACTCTATTAGTTATAATGATCATGGAATTAATGATAATGAAGATAATTATAAGCTTAAAAATGATCTTAATATTCATACTAAATTAAATAATGATTCATATGCTAATATTGAAAATGGATATTATCCTAAACAAGTAAGAAGAAGTTTACCTGATGTTGTTATACCTTCAACAAATTTACCAATTCCAAGATCTAGTTTACAAATTGATTATGAAACTGGACGTAGATCAACAATATACTTAGAAACTACAGTGAAATTAGCTGAATCCGAAAGTATTAATTTAGATGAGAATTATTCTTCGAATATATTTAATGAAACATTTTTTAATAATATAAAATTAAATATGGCAAATAGAAATTTTCTATTAGATAGACCAAGAGCTCATAGTCTTATATCATCAACATATCAACAACAATTAACTAATAAACATAAAGAACGTCAAGGTAGAAAGTCCGATGTTTCTCGAAGTGATAATCATGAAAAAAAATTAATTTCCAAGAAAAGACTTAGTCTATTTAAAGTGAAACCATTAAAACGTTTTCGTAAATCAAAAGATAGTTTAAATTCACTGAGGTCACATAAATGTACAATTAGAAATGAACAATCAAACATGATACCAACTATGACATGTGATAAGTCGACTAATTCGAAAACAAAATCCTCATTGAAACGGATTAAACCTTCGAAATTATTTTCAATTAATAAATCATCTCATGAAAATATTGGTACTACTAAAGATTTGAATAGTCATGAAAGTTGTTCTGAACGATCAGAGGATAGTTTAGGACAATTACCTATGACAAGGAATTCTATGTTCAAGCATATACAAACACGTACTACTAATTTATATCAAACAACAACAAAAAATTTTGATTTAAATAAACAAAATTATTTAAATAATATTGAACATTCTATGACAAATTCTAAAAATACTGTATTAAGACGTGGTTCTCTTTGTATTTTTAGTCAAATTGATGAACCTATTGTAACACCATTCGCACAGATATTGGCTAGTTTAAGAAAAGTTCGATTTAATTTCATTTTATTAACAAATGTAACAAGTACAAGAGAGTAAGTCATAATTTTATATAAACAGAGTTATTTTACTTATTATTGTTTTACTTTTACTTTTTTCATTGAAACCATTCCAATTCGATTACACCATATTATCACATCTTCCGTTTAATAAATCAGGTATAGTATTTTGTCTATTCATTTAATACACATAAAATTTGATAATATAATTAATCTCATGAGGCGAGATCGTGGATGCGCACTGCTGAGGAGTCCCATAATAGAACGAAATGGCCATCCAGTGCTTCCAAGTTTTCCTTGGTGGTGTAGCTTCAATTGACTCATGATTTCAATTGTGAAAATACTAAATTCTCCACAAAACCCCCTCTGATCTAAAATCATATGCTCACTAGTGACTGATTTCAACAGATAATTCCTTGAGTTCTAGTGAGAAGCAGTGGACATTGGAGTTCTACCAGGTCTGTTGTACAGATATCATCTCACTGAAGACAATTGGTGAACAGTCGCTCAAAATCGTGGATCAGTTGAAGTTAGACATTAACACCGTTGGATGCCGGCCAGCTCAGTGGTCTATCGGTTAAGGGCTTCGGATCGTGACTGGTAGGTCCTGGGTTCGGATTTCGCGAGTGCAGGATCGTGGATGCGCACTGCTGATGAGTCCCATAATAGGACGAAACAGCCATCCATTGCTTCCAGGTTTTCGATGGTGGTCTAGCTTCAGTTGACTCATGATTTCAACTGTGATAATATGAATATTCATCAATATTTAAACGAAAAGTTTGACAGAATTTTGGCTCCGAGTTTAAAGAAAATATCATTCATAAATATTATATTTTAGATCATCTCAGTGATTAAAATTTATATCACTTCAACGTTTCGTCCATCAAACTTATGTGGACTTCTTCAGGGTAATAATCAAAATCAAAATTATCAAACAATCTATAGTATTTAACAATTAAATCAAATCTTTGCTATGTTCATTAAGTAGCATAACATAAGTCAGTGAGATTTGAATTATACGAAAAGTTCACAATGTGGAAATAAATTAGCTAAAGTGTGTGTGTGTGTATGCGTAACTTTATATTATGAACAGTTGATATTTGGTGAATCATTTGTTTACTAAAAGTAAAAACGAAAAAGCAAATTGAAAATCCTTTTAAAACGACAATATATTTGTAAAATGAGAACCATCAAATACATAATTGTAATGATAAAATATTCAAATTAATATCTGTCGGAATAACAGTACACGTAAAATAAGTAGCTTGCTAATTATATTTTCAAGGGGTGGTTAGTTGAACACCGTCGTTTCCCTTCAAGCCGTTCTTATCAGCTCATACATACAATGCTTCTGCTTTCAATCATTCCCTCACATAAGATGCATTACAATCATGACAGCTGATTTCATAGAAAATATTCTGTCGGTCTCCCCTTGGGAACCTATTATTAACCTTCATTGATGCCGATCTTATAGTTTCACAAGCCCAAAAATACACTCATATCATATTTGTTTAGAATAATCACAATTCCTTTTGATGTTTCTGCACGGTATGGGACGACCACAGGATTCTTCCATCCTTTTGGCATACACTAATTTAGTTTTCATTTCTAACAATCTTTGCAAAGTTTTTAGGGTAATTGTTTGCCCTAATTGTAGATAATATTCCATTAAATTCAGTCTATTAGTCTTCTCTGTTATGCGATTACTACTCCTGTTAATTAAATTTTTCACTACTATGACCTTCGTACATTAAACATGAGCTGAGCCATAATCTAAGTATCTCTCAGAATGTGTCAATTTCTTGAATGGATTCATTTTTAGCTTACTAGTATGCCTTCCTACTAGTATGTCAACCAAACAATTGAGAATCACTAGTCTGTGACCAATGGATTCGATCTCTTTGATTAGCCTAATGTTATCCGATTTGTTACTCACATTTTTAAAAATATTTCTTCTAAACTATCTTGTTTAATCATGAAAAAATGTCATGTGCATACAGTAAGTAAACGGTGTAATAGATTTATACACTTTGTGACCACACTGGTTTCTAAGGAATGCGTGAATAAAATTGCTACAAACTGGTGAACCCATTACCACACCTTTTTGTCTGTAAAGATCTCGGAATAAGAAATATCAACATTCACATGTTCTCCACCGGGTTTTATTTTTTCTTATATTTAACAACCTCTTAAACCATAAAGTTGCACAACCTCTAGAAACCTAAATAGGGGGTTTCGATAAACCACCATTAAACTCTTGATAAGCACGTCAAAAGGAGAAACAGTTGTAGCTGATTAGAACATTTTGAATCTGAGTCCAAGCCCACATCGCAAAAATAACTGGCAGATGGGACGGTGGTGCTGACCAGAAACATATTATGATCTGCACGAAGCTGAAGGAGGCGGTCATCATTATTTGAGCTGAAACCTTGAAGTCTCAATTACCCACCCAATTGAATATCTTCTGTGTCTAGACACCTGAATTGTACATTCAAATCTCTTGTTTTCAAATCAATATCTGTCAAACGAATCTTTTTAATAAGATCATTTAATTGTTGACAGAACACATTCTTGATTTCAGAAAGACATAATCTAACAAAGTTTGTTCACGCTTTGATGGAACCTTCTAAATGACGGCCTGCCTAAATATTTGGGCTATTTGTTCCTGCGATCTACATATTTCAAAATGTCATCTAACTTTGTTTCAATACATCATTATGGCTATTAATCGCACAACCTATTCAGATGCGTTTTTGAAAAGTGCACAACCTTTCATTGTAAGGGTTACAAAAGGCCTAATCATAGGTATTGTGGTTGCTGGCAGGCAATATCCAGCAAAACGAAAGCACATTATTCATATTTCGATTGTCTAGACTGCTTACTTCAAACTGACGACCATTCAGCACTTATCGTTGGGATCGTCAAAGAAGTAGAAAACGGAAACTTGCTGAAATACTTTAAGAGTTGAGTATTGTACCAACAACATAATATTGAATAAAGCTAATGATAATAATAAACCTAATAGCATACAAGACTGTTGATAGAGATCCAACAGATTAGTACCATCTGGATCGAGTCCCTATGCCACAGGGTACTCAGATAAAAGCATTTGAAATAAACTTTTCAGATTTACAAACAGTAAATGAATCTCCTCGAAAAATCTCAAAAATATATCAATCTTCAATACTTAAAATTTCTAGATAATCTCATAACAGAAGTTGTCCTCATGTATTGCTAGTTTTTATGGCAGTTGAAAGCGTGAGTCAATTGAAGCTAGACCACCATCGAAAACCTGGAAACACTGGACGGCTGTTTCGTGCTATTATTGGTCTCCTCAGCAGTGCGCATCCACGAACCCGCTCTCGCGAGATTCGAACCTCGAACCTACCAGTCACGATCCGAAGCCCTTAACCGATAGACCACTGAGCTGGCCGGCATCCAACGGTGTTAATGTCTAACTTCAACTGATCCACGAATTTGAGCGACCGTTCACCAATTGTCTTCAGTGAGTTCCTATCTCACAACAGACGTGGTTTTGAACTCCACTGGTCACTGCTTCTCACGCTTTCAACTATAATAAATACTTATTCTCCACAAAACCACTTCTATAATTTTTATGAGTCTAAGCTTCTTATGTAGTCAATTAATTATTTAAAAAAAAGATCGATTTAATAATACTTGAAGTAAAACAATTTCAGAAGCTGATGACATTGTTAAGTTACACAATGAAAACTTTGTGAATAAACCATTCAACTCAGAGAAAATTATCACAACCAAGAAAATTCTTTTTATCCTACTTAAAACTTGACAGTATTATTGTTCACATAGCAATTATTTAAACAACAGATTGATAACAAATATTTTATATATCCCAAATTTTGTTCTGACATATGATTATTTTCTAATGAAAGGATAGATTGTGATCTAAATGTCGAAAACGTGATCTTGGGATATGTTTCCTGAGTGATAGCGCATTCATGATAGTATGCATTCCTATCTAGGTTAAACTATTGAATAACAATAAATACATCAAGGATTTCTAAAAAAAAAAAAAGAATATTATAATCATCTTGTATTGTTCAACAAAAAAACACACATAAAATATATTTGAAATTATTCAAAACATTCAATAAAATGTCTTGTTCTATTATACTTAACAACAGAACATTTAATCACCTAGATTACTGTCATTTTAAAATTATAAATTTATAAGCTGATAGAATTGAATTATTCATTGATGACTAACTAGAACTAATCTTTTAGTGATAAACAAAAGTTAATCTATTATTTTCTGAAGGAAAAAAAAAAGTAGTATATCTTTAATGAACAAGAACAATGGTAGGGACAATCGAACGTATTAAGACATAAAATTACAGACTATCTCACTAAATTCTGACAACCATATAGTAAACAGTTAATTTGCAAATCAATAATCAATTGTGTCAATCTTCACTGTGTTTTTTTTTTGTAAATATCAGTTCATTTTCTCTAATTTCATTGTTTATGCATTTTCATACGAACTGCGATTTATTTCAGTTTTTTTTTCCTTATCGATCTCCTGCCAAAATACATTCAATGTCTGACCATCGCCATATACTACTTACATGAATATAAGTAGACCACACTACATATCTACCTCTGTATAAATTTTTTTTTCTACAGACACATTTGTATTGTTTAATAAAAATGTCCAATTATTCATTGACTAAAAAATATACGATTTCAAAGGTGTTTCTTTATTTTAGCTTGTTGACTTTATAATTTTTGTTTTCTACATTATTATTATTATTATTATTATTAGTAGTAGTAGTAGTAGTTGTTGTTGTAGTAGTAGTATTGTCAGATATTCCATTCCCTACTCACGATATATACTACTTATGTTTATATAAGTAGCCCATACCACAGTATTACAATTGTTACTATCCCTATCATCAAAGTTACTGTTTATTTTGTTTGTTATAGAAACTAAAAAAACGAGAATGTATTCTTTATTTATTAGTTAATTCTTTGTTTAAAATGTTAAATTTATCTAACCT